AATATTTCATGAGCAGATCAATTAGTGAACTCATTCTCCAATTGACACCTATACTATAGCCCTAGTGTCCTCACACGAGTAACTATGAGACCAGCTGCCTCCATTATATGGACAAGTATATAGCACATCAGTCTGTCTAATTATCTCGATGTCCCTTTCAAGTAACCTATGATCATGATTATTTAGGGTCTACGTTTAAAGGTGAATCGATATCATTATTATGATCTTATCACGATATATATGCATATATGCAACAAGCAATATAAAGTGATAAAATATCAAAACATAATAAGCAAAAAGAATGTGTATCATATCACGCGTGCCATCACTCACGTGATTGGCTTGTAGGGCACCTATGACTAGCATATCATGTATGTTATGCTATGTATTAGGCCAAATATATCATATGCTCTGAGTGTCACGAGTATGTACCATACGAATGTAGGCTCATAGCACTAGAAAGCAGTAAAATGTCCTTAAGTACTTGAGAATGACTAAGGATCTTTTACTAATATACGGAGAAAGTGACCTTAGGGTTGAGGGCTACACGGAATCGAGTTTTTAGTCTGATGTTGATGATAGCAAGTTTAATTTAGGGTATGTGTTCACCATGAATAGAGAAGTAGTATGTTTGAAGAGTTCCAAGCAAGATACCAGCGATGAGCTGATTCCCTTATATTGTGATAACGTTAGGACGATTACTTAAGCATAGGAATCTAAGTCTCATCAAAAGTCTAAGCATGTTCTAAGAAGGTTCCACCTGATCTGAGAGATCGCAGCTCAAAGAGATGTAGTAGTGGAAAGAGTTACATCTAAAGATAATATCGTAGATCCACTAATAAAGATATTGTCTTAGATTGTCTTTGAGCATTACAAGTGTCTTATTGAAAACAAACATGTAGGTGATTGACTTTAGATCAAGTGAGGGATCGCTAGTTATAGGTATCATGTTAGCCAATTACGTGAGTGATGACATATGTGACATGATACACACTCTTTTTGCTTATTAATTATTTGATATTTTTCTCATTTTAAAGTGCATATTGCATGCATTTTGATGTTCATTGATCTATGCAATGGGAATCAGATCATGATGAGATCATGATAATGAGATTGATTCACTATTAAACATAGACCATAAATAATCCCAATCATAGGACACTCAAGAGGGATATCGAGATGACTGATAGACTGATGTGTTATATACTCATCCATATGATATAGGTGGCTGGTCTCATAACTGCTAGTGTAGGGACACTAGCGACACCACGCATGTGCTCATTGGAGAATGAGTTCACTGATTGATCCACTCATGAATATTGGATGGTTGATGACACCTCATTATCATACAGTGATTCAGTCATCCCAATGGTGTATATGGTCCTTAGACTTAAAACACCAAGGATGTCATGTATAAATACTTCACTCTTTGATTCCCAACTTATAGACCTAGAAGTTTTAAATCTAGCACAACCGGTCATCGAGAGTGGTAGTCAATATTACGAGGGCTATTTATTATCGATAGAAGATCATCTATACTTACTATTATGAGAATAATATCTCTTTTTTTTTTTCAAACAAATCCCTAACCAAGGTCATTCGGATTGAGAAAGAAAGAGTTCTCCGGGAGAATCCAATTAGAGCGAGACTCGAGTAAAAACCATATGAGCATGACAGCACCATTCCTAATATACGATTTATGGGATATTAGATGGATAAAGGACTATAGATATATGGTAACTAAGAACAGATAGGTTCAATAGATTGGATTCCCCTATATCATCTGGGGATTGCGGTGTAGTGGCATCGTACGTCGGTAGTTGATGAGTCGAGTGAATTATTATAAAGATAATAATTCACTAAGTTAGAAGGAGTTCTCTTAGAGACAGTTATAGGTTGTTAGAGGTCAAGGGAAAGGTTATTAGAGGCAATTATAGACTCTTATGCATGTGGGCAAACGGGTGAAGGGTGACATCCATCTTCTCCTTCTATCTTGGATACCATATAGTAATCACATATCGAATAATTAATTACTTTAATATACAAATGCTATTCCTGGTACAATATCGAGATTATGTGAAAAATATACTTAAAAAATGTCTCTATTGGTCTCATCAACACATAGGATGTACTTATGCTAAAAAGAAAAAAAATACAAAATAAAACTTATGCATTTCCCCCTCAACATGTTAAAAATCTCCTAACATACTAATAAAAACATAAGATAGAAACAAAAAGAAAAAATAGAATCACAAATTTAGGCTCAAACACATGATAACATAATTAGTAAGCAAAAACTGAGCCTCGACCAAGAATTGGCCCATGTAGATATAAACCTAAAGTTATGATTTAATCAGCGTTTGAGTGACGTAGGACTAACTTTGATCATGGAAAGATAAATCGATTAAAGTAGGAAGAATCAAACGTTGGGCCAAAATGGATCATGTTAGAGATTGAACGTCAGGCCAAAGGATTAGTTGACGTGCTAGAAGATAGACTTCGTGACGTGAGTTCGGGCATCAGCCCAGAAGGATCAGATATTACATCAAGAAGATCAGATGTTGCAAGAGATCAATGTGCCGATGGATCAAGCAATACGCCAAAAGAGAGGATGATGCGTCGAAGGTTCAAACGAAGCACCAGATAAACCAATGACATGCTGGACAACAAAGGATTCATATTTATAATCGATTGTGTCATGATCAAAGTAGTTTAAGTTGTAATTGAGTTAGTTTTGGGTGTGACCATACTAACTCAATTAAAGGCTCATTGGGCCTAAATCAGGACTGATTTGGGCTTGCTGAAAGACTCATTCAATGACTTACAGTTAGGTCAGGTGGTGGCACTACTAGACCAAGCGGTGGAACCGCCTATGAGCTGGAATGTATGAAGTGCGTGTTTTCCGAGGTGCCGTTAGTGTCAGGCGGTGGTACCGCCCAAACATAGTCCCCCAGACTATGTCAGGTGGTGGTACCGCCAGTGCACATAGTGGCAAGTGGTGGTACCGTCGGTACCTCGAAAATCGGAGATTTGAATTTTTGACTCCATTTTTTGAAGTCATTTGGAGTCTATAAATACCCCACCTATTTTTTGCTTGAGATAACAAGAAAAAGAGTAAAAATGATAAATAATTCTTGAGAAAAAAAGAATTGTAATATCTCTTGAGTTATTGAGTCTCTTTCTTAGAGTTAGAAGTGTTCTAAGGAAGGAGTAAGGTCCAATTGTAAAAGAGAGGTGTGAATATTCTCTCTTGAGCCTATGAAAATGAGAAATAATTGTAACAAGAGTAGTTGATCTCGTCCGATGAAAGAAGATCGTTAGTAAAAGTCGATGGCCTTGACGGAAGAAGAATCGGGAGTGAATGTAGATCGTAATAATCGAATCATTATAAATTCGATTTATATTTTTTTATGCTTTTCATTCCTATTACAAATTAATTTATTTGTTTATTATTCTTATGTATATTTTAAGTTAAATATATTTTTAATATGAGTTTCATCGATTGAATTTTCTTAATCCTTCGAAAGCACCAATTCCTCCTCCCCTCCTCCCATTGGGAGTCGATGTTGATCAAAACACTATTAATTTCATATGTGTTATAGTCCAATATCCTTCGTAAGACAAACATTCAACTCTTGATAGATTTAGAAGTACATCTAAAAACTTATAAAACGAATATTTGTGACCTGTAAGTGATCAGATTGGGCAAACTTGATTGAGCGAACGTAGTTAGTGTGTTGTGTCTAAGATATCAAAGAAAAAGTAAAGGGCAGAGACGTTGAATATTTTTTTATATGTGTAATATATTGCATAATTTATCCCATCATTATTATTACACGCAGAGTGAGATCATCTTTAACATCGAGAAATGTAATTATTTGAAGCCGATGATGAGGAAAAACTCCCTTTATATATTCGGCAGTTTGTGCCAAGTTTCGCACTCATCTATTTTCTGACTATTAACTAACATCGAGAGAAACCAAAGATAAAAGCTATCACAATTTATATATTTCAATTAGAGGACAACTGAGGACAAGTTGATGTGATACACCAAATCTATCTTTTGAAAATATCAGGAAATAAAAGATTAGCAAAAATAATTAAAAGTTTAAATTTATTTTTAAAAAAAATAAAAACGGTGAAATCGAATTTTGATCGTAGGATATTTCGATGATCTGATAAAGATTTTACTGACCGTGCCAAGGAGCACAAAATTAAAGAACTTAATATATCATGGTTAATTTGTTTCACAGTAAACAACGATTCTGATATTATCGAATTGATCTGATTCAGACACTATCACTAACTATCATTCGATCTTGGATGAAAAAACAAATAATCCTCTTTAAAGAATTATTTATGTATCTTTAACTTGAACTAACTATAAAACTAACTGCAATCACATAAACCGTCGATATCTTATGAGGCTTCTTTGTGGATGAACGCTTCTTGCCTCTTATCTTTGAATCCGATAAAGAAAAAAAGAAAAAGAAAATGGAAGCATGGCATGAGATAAAATTGAACCAAGTTTTTATTTCTTTTCAAGTAATTATGTCTGATGAATTCATACGTTTTGCCAACAAAAATAATAACAATCAGATATGAAGAATATTTAGTCGGATTGTGAGTTTAAATATGAGAAACAAAATTGGGAATATATTTGGAGGCGTTGATTCCTTATCTATCCTACGAAACTAACTTGTTTGAATTTAAATTCGCCAAGCCAGAAAATAAATCAATTTTTTGCCATCATATTTGGGTGAATATTCGTGGGGAGTCATATTTTTTATAATAAAGAAAGATGGATTTATTTGACGGAGGTTCCAAGCGCAACTGCCTGTCCGTTTAACGTGGAGCCCGCCCACGTACTGCTCTGTATTGTCCAATCACAGGGCAGGTGACGCACGGGTACGTGACTGTCGGGTGGCGAAAGTGCTTTGTATCAGGAACTGAGCTGGGTATCTTTTCCGGGCTGTTTGCATTGGGTCCGGAACGTCGCTCGGGACCGAACCACCTCTTCTAAACGCTGCTCCCTCGACGGAGTCCGTCGCCCAAGAAGAACCTTCGGACATGGAGGACGACGACGAGTTCGGGGAGCTTTACACCGACGTATTCCGCCCCATCGCCGACTCCCCTCCTGCCCCCTCTCCCGGGACTCGCCCTGATCCCGTCGTTCCTGCTGCCGACGACGATATCGAAGGCGGCGACGGGGACGAGATATTGTTCGGCGCCTCTCGTTCTTCCCCCGCCGCCGAACTTCCATCGGTCCCTCATCACGCCCTAGCTCCTCCCGCCGCGGCCGCCGCCACCGCCGCCGAAGACTACGGCCAGCGCGATTGGATGCTTGGTCACGCGCCTCCCGTGGTGGAGGCACCGGAAAATTGGGACGACGAAAACGACGGCGTGGTCTCCAGGCCGACAGAGGTCGTTGCACCCATGGCCGATAAGTGCGAGCCTAGGGTTTTGGAGGATGACGAAGAAGAAGCTAGGGTTTCGGAGATTCCAAATGGGGATGGTAAAATTGGTGACCCTGAGAGGCTTCGAGCCCCAAATGGGGACGGCTATCCATTGTTTGGAGGTGGAGTGGTTGAAAATTTAGGCGATCCGGACGAAGCTCCGGTCATTCCCGGCCTCTCAGCTGAACCAGCCCCTTCCGGGCCTCTGATCGGCATGAACATTGAAGAGAGGAAGCCATCACAAAGTGAGGATTGGGACAGCGATAGCGAAGATGATCTCCAGATCGTGCTGAATGATAGCGATCATGGACGGCTTGGTGTGGACAGGAATGATAGAATTGGGATTGATGATGATGACAGGGAAGATGATTTGGTCATTGTCACTGATGAGGATCAGCATCGCCACGTCCCGGCTACGGATGAGCAAAACTGTGGGGAGGAGGCTATGCAGTCTACTGGCGATGGGGAGAGAAAGGAGATGGTGGATGTGGCGAAAATTGCTAGTGCTACCGGAAGTGCATTGGAGGCGAGGATTGGGTACAACACTCATGGGTCTCATCCACAGCATCATTCAATGTACAAGGTTAATTCTTATCATTCATCCTTGCTGTGAGGTGGAAACTGTAGGTTTGTGTATTTTAGCTTTGGCATTGTTACGTATTCTTAAATTGTTTATTAGTTTCTTATTTGTTAATAAATGATCGTGGGTGTAAAGCTAAAGTCATTTTCACAATTATAAATGTGATGTCTTTTGTGCTACATGCTACAATTATAAATGTAAAGTCATTTTCACAATCATCAATTGGTCATTCATGGAATGAGAGGGTAAACATTTCCAATAGGTTGCCAAAGAAGGAGCAACGTACAGTGCAAGTTCAGGGCACCTCAGTTATTGTTAACACCTTCTTATTTTGTTATTCATCTTGCATTTGCCCAGATTTTTCTTGGTTCGATATAACGGGCTATCTTTTTGGCAACAATAGGATATGTCCCTCCTACGGGAGTTATTTTATCAAATTGAAGTAAAATATCTGAAAATGTATAGCAATTACTATCAGTTGGATTATAAATTAGAGAATACTTGAGAAATAACATTTATTTTTGCTATCAGATATGATAACTAAGGCTATATATTTAAGCCTAATGTCTTGTAAAATTTTCTAACTAATGTAGCAACTCCTGAGCTTTCTTTTGAGAAATGAATGATATATTCCTTAACTCTTGTAATTTGTTCATTCAGGTTTTTCCCTGCTGAACAAAGAGAATTTGTGTATCAGGAGTCAATATATATTGTTGTTAAGAAATCTGGGCCATTGTAACTGTACCTTTATTACTCTATGATCCAGCGTCATCTAGCATAACATGCTTTGATGTATTAATATATGGTTCAGGTTGTTTCTGGATTGATATCTAGAAATCAATGAATATTGGAAGGTTTCCCATTGTAGTTCAGTTGATCGATGTGAAAATTCTGTCAATTCTCATATCCTGAGTTGGTATCATGAGCCATATATTTTGTCTTTGTGCTTTGTAAACATGATTTGGAATAATGCAAATTTTTTTCTACTGACACTGGCAGACACTTTGAACTTGATAGGATCGAATGATCATGGATGACAGGCCTGCCAGTTATTTTAGATGGATAAATTTATAACGAGTCAGATAGTAGCTGCAGAAATATCATGATCATGTGTGTTTTCACTTTTGTTGTCATGGAAACCACTTTTAGTGTTGTGTATTTTCACTCAGTTTTTGTCCAATCACTCCAAACTTTGATGCCAATGTCATTGTCTGTTGTCATATCTTTAATGGGTAGGTTGTCTTTATGGCATCACAACTCATTAGCTAATTTTGGTTTGTTTCTTATGCAGTATATAAGACCTGGTGCAGCACCTCTACCTGGGGGCCCTGCTGCTGGGACAGCTTGTCCTCCGGGCGCTGCTCGTCCTCCTCTTATCTCAGGTCCCCTTTCTGGTGGAGGAAGAGGTGATTGGAGACCTGCTGGTGGCAGGGGGATTCCAAATGGGCCCAAAGGCTATACTGGCTTTGGTTTCCCTGCTTGGGCCAATAGTTCATCCCGTGCTTTTGGCAGTGGACTGGATTTTACCCTTCCTGCTCACAAGTAAGCTTGTCATTTGCACACTCATTTTTGTTTCTTCTAGGATCTTAGTTTCAAAACTTTGAACCACTTTGTCGTTATCTTTGCTGTGTAACCAGATGAGTAATGCAACTTGTTGTATGTTGATCCTTGGTAAAACCTAACTTTTCTGGAATCTAGATAGGCTAGCAACATATTGTGAACAAGTATGTAATACCTTTTCATATATATGCCTTTTAATGGATGGTCTCCATGCGATTGTCCATTGTCTGTTTGAACTTGTGAGATTATGTGAGAAAATAGACTTTTACTAGAAGTTGAGGAAGTAGAAAACTTTAATTTCAGACAGGGGAATCTTTTCTTTTTTGTTGGCTTGTGACTAAAGTTGCAAGAGACTTAGAGGAAGTAGAAAACTTTAAGTTCATCTCACCGGCAGGATTCTGTTAACTTATAACTGAAATTGCAAGAGAATCATTTTGCTTTTTATTTAGAAATACTACTGCAGGTATGCATATATCTGTTTACAATTAAATTACATTAACACTGACTGGATGTCTGCCTTCAATGTAGGACAACCTATCCTCATCAATATTTCTAATTTGATGCATGAGTACAATTAGTGCTCATCTTGGCGCCAATCACCGATCATTAGAATCACTGAACAAAAAACAAATCGTTAAAATTGGCATTTCGTAAAATTTTCACTTTCTTCAGATGTTCAAGGGGAGTTGCTGGTGATGAAATACATCATAGATCCTATCATGTTATGTGTGAAGTGGTAAATTGAGAACAAGTGCGCTGAAGAAATAATTAGAGATGGAAGAAGAAGGATGAAAATGCATGGGAAGAAACACACTTCTGGTTGAAAATATATGGACTATGTAATTTCTTGGTCCACAGGGAAAGTTTGTTGGGTGATAACCATGATTAGGATTTTGCGCCATCAGCAAAACTTAGTTCGAGATTGAGGACTTGATGAGCTATCAGGGGATGTTGCAGAACTTGCTTCTTGGTCATTCTAGTTTATGTTTTAAAGTCATGGATTCCATTTGTGTTTGACATGTGATATGTGCTCGCCATATAAAGCAGTAACTTATTAGGTGTACATTTATAGTTCAAATCATCTTGCTTTTCAAGTTTCTACTAATTATGCTAATTAAGCAGGATAGCACGCTCCTGCTGAATTTTTATTCTTTTTTTGTGGATCAATCTTGTCAAATCAAAGTTGTGTGCATGTGAACATACCTAATCCTTACAATTCTGAATGAACTCATTTGCCTGTAGATAAGAGGCCAAAAAATTGAAAGACTTTTTCACTTAACTATCCTATCTATCCAAATCAATTTTCAATCCTCAGGTCAGTTTTTGATGTTGACATTGAGAGTTTTGAGGAAAAACCGTGGAGACATCCCGGAGTTGATGTATCAGATTTTTTTAATTTTGGTTTTGATGAAGACAAGTGGAAGGATTATTGCAAGCAGCTGGCAAGTGAAAGTCTTGTTGTTCATTGTGAATTATTTAAGGCATTGATGTGTTGTTCTTAATTTGTGATTGAAGTTTTGAATTCTCAGGACCAACTTCGTTTAGAGTCAACCATGCAAAGCAAGATTCATGTCTATGAGAGTGGCCGATCAGAGCAGGTTACGTATTTATATCTGCTGGAATCATGTTTTAGCTTTAGTTGTCAATAACTTATAACTCTGCTTTCAGGAGTATGATCCAGATTTACCTCCCGAATTGGCAACTGCAGCAGGCCATCACAATATTTTTGCTAATAATGGGCATAAAAAAGCAGATGATGGGGAAGTAGATTTTAGTAACCAAGGAAGAGGATCATCAGTTATGCGGGCACCATTGGTATGATCTATTGATTCTCTGAACTACTATATAGCATGGGGCTGATGTTTTTTATGGTCTTCAATTGGTTTTTTATAGAACGGTTTACTGGATGGAACTTTAAGGTTTCGTCTTTTTTTTTTTTGCTTGTTAGCCAACTGGGAGAGCAATACAGGTTGAAGGTGGTTATGGTGAGCGCCTACCCTCTATAGATACCAGGCCTCCTCGCATCCGTGATGCAGATGCAGTTATTGAGGTAACTTTGTGATATCTACTTCCAGATGTTCGTGTGTATATCAACTACCATATTCTCATTTATTATATGTACGACTTGTGATTGTACGACTTGTGATGGTTACCAAAGTAACGATATCTACTTCCACATGTTTGTGTATATCTAATACACTTGTCTTATATGTGATGTGTATTATGTAATACTTATTAATGATATCAACAAATAAAATTCTTGTCGAACAGATTGTGTTGCAGGATTCATTTGATGATCCAAAAATGTGCAACTGTGCCCCAGAGAAACACAAGAGTGTTGAAAGAGATGATGATAAATGTTTTCATGAAGTTAAAAATGATGATAGAAATACTGTCTCAGGAAATATGAGGCACTTTTCACATGCTTCTGGCAATAGGAATAAGGAAATGACTAGAAGAGCCCTTTCTGCTAAGGAAAAAAATGAAGTGTTGCTTTTCCCTTCGGAATCTTCAGCTGAATACCATCAAGATTCAAGAACAAGGAGCCCTGTATCTCCTGCTAAAGCACTGGGGATACACCAAAGCTGCAGGTAAATTGTACTTCAAAAGAATTTATGTTCCTTTCAATTTGTTTTGTAAGCTTCAACTACATGACATTTTTTATCGCTAATTAGCAATATCCAGAAAAACAGCAGGGAGAAAAAGAAAAACAAAAAAGTACAGCAAAGTTACCATGACACGACGCTTGCCCTCAGTAAAGAAAAGAGAAATGCATGTGGAATTTTCCTCTGCAGTTCATATACGTATATTGTGTTTTTGCAATAGTTTTGGTTTGGCATGATAAAATTCGGCATGCTCAGTGCCGGACCCTAAGGGGTTGTTTTCCTTGTCAGTTAGAATTGCTGTTTCCAATATACTTGGGTTGTCATAAGAAGGGTTTGACATGATTGGTTTTGGTAGCCAAGGAAGAGGACCAGCAGTTATGCGCATTTGATGTGAACTCCATTCCTTAAATTCATTTTCTTTGCTTATGAAAATAGTCGAAGCCTGAGACATGCCTGTGCCATCTATTGCATAGTTTGCAGCATGTGCATTCAGCATTTGACTACTCTACTGCATCTACCACTCTGGATACACAAGCAGGAAATCTTGATGTTTGATGACATGGACCACAACTTTGAGCAACATTGTCCAGTTACCTTTGTCAGGTCCAAATAAGAATATAAAGGCTTTTGATTGATGGAGAAGAAACATATTTCTTTTTCTATTGTAGTATGTAATAACAATTTAAACTGAATAAATTAGATAGAATTATTCAATTATAGAAGCACACGTTTGGATGTTCCTCAAAGCTCTATTCATTCAGAGAATCTGAGATTCTGAGAAGTTGGTGAATGATATTTGCTTTAAGAAGAAATTGAGGTGTCTCTCTGAAATCCTATGAGATTGACCCATTGATGGGTCTTTGATATCATGATGAACTGTTGGCACAAGTCCTATCTTGTCAATTTGGTTGAAGGAGATGGGGGGCTCAGCAGGAAGAGGGTATACCATGAGAGACGCAAGGAAGTTGATATGACTCACATATATTATGGATTCTACCAACTCAGTTAGCAATACATGTGTGGATTACATTTTCTTGCACATAGTTGCATGAGTATTAGAAGTCACTTGTCATATCAGATTATCAGTCTTATGCATCTGTGAATGTCATTAGCAGTAAGTTTATAAAGCCACATCAGGTAAATGGAGAAAGAAACTAATTGGAAGCAAAGGAGCTATGTCTAGGAATACTGGCAAATTCTTAGAGTCATGCCTTTTGACCAATCGTCAGGCTTAGTGGATCATTGAACAGTGAGTTGGTAAAAAACAAGTCATATGCTTTTTCATCCTATTCTCAAATTATTTAGGACACTGGACTTGAAAAAAAATGTAATTTGATGTTACAAATAATTATTTGTATTTTTGAATGTGTTTTTTCTAGATTTATCTGATGTGTATGCGTTGATTTGCTTAAGATACTGTGTTTCTGGATACATACTAATGTGGGATTGCTGAATTGATACCTCAGGTTGCCCCAGGGATCTTCACATAGAAGATCCTCCAATGGTCGTGAACAATCTATTGATGGCATCCCTAGTCCAAGTGTCCACTCAAACAGGCTTGGTGATGAGGAGGAGACACAGGATGATAGCACTGGAGTTGATCGGAGTTCTGGAAAATCATCTTCTGTTGCTGATGATACTGTAAAAGAGCTGAGTGTTGATGAGCAATGCTGTGGGCATGATGAAAAGCTTACACCAGTTAGCATTGAAAATGAAGGGGAGGACATGGTGTCAGACGTACATATTCCTAATGAGACCAGCGACAATGATAAATTAGTTCAAACTGGCAAGAAGCAAAAGCTTTCATCACTGGTTGAGCAACCTGCAGGGCATGATAGTGGTCATGAGGATGAGTTGCAAACCTCAAATAGTGATAACAGTAGACAGAAATCTGGGAGCAGTAAGGATTATCCAAAGCAGACTGAAAATGGTGATAAAGTCATACAAGAAGAACATTCAATTCAGGTGGGTCACTTAAAAAGACCCCACAAAGAAGAATGTTATTTGCGACCAAAAGATGACTATGGTCTGGATGCTAGACAAGTGATGAAGAAAGATTACATTGTTTCCAAAGGAAAGGATGATACATCTGATTCTTATAAGCACCCTCTTCGAAGTAGAAGCTATGAGAGGAAAAAGGAATCAGAATCTTCTATCAGTTCTTGGCAAAGAAGAGAGGACAATGTACACAGTAGAAGAGTCAAAGATGAAGACAGGAGGTGGGAGAATAGTGATGAAATGGTGTCAAAGCACAGGAGCAAGTTAAGGGTGACTGACAGAAACCCGAAAGAAGAAGATCATTCAAAAAAGCGTGTAGAAGATAGAGACTGGAGAGGGCATAATAGGGATGACGTCTTATGGCAGAGGTCAAGAGATGATCTTGTGAGTCGTCATGAAAGCACAGACGAACCTCTCATTAAAAAGAAAAGGGATGAAGAATATCTAAGAGGCAAAGCTGACAAATTAAGTACTCTGCATGGTTATAGGGATGAAGAAAATTCTGGGAGAAAGAAAAGAGCAAGGGATGATGCCATAGATCATAGGAGGAGAGAGGTTGACACTAGAATGAGAGATAAGGCTGATGATCACTTATCTTCCAATCATAAAGATGATAACTGGCGCTATAGGGAGAGAGAGGATAGGCAGCGACTTAAACCTCATGAAAGTGCACCGATGCACCGGGAAAGAGAAGAAGGGCGGGGGTCTGTAAGGAGTGGGCGGGCTATGGAAGATAAAGCATCGGGTGGTAGTGCTAGGAATAGGGATGAATCAAAGACTATAGTCCATGATAGTAGGGTTCATCAAGAGAAAGAAAGAAGGCAACTTAATGATCATTCAAAGAGGGATCATGGTAGGGAAGATGATGTACAAAATAAGGGACGCAGACATTTATCTGTGCGTGAAAAATATTCAAACAATGACAGAAGAAACTCTAGGCATGAAAGGATGAACACGTACAAGGACTGCCCTCCTAGTGCTGATGGCAAGCAGATGTACAGGGAAAGACACAAGGAAAATACAAGGAAATCCAAAGATTCAGAAGCTCATGAGCAGCACAGCCAGGGGCTTGGTAAGAGAAAGCATGAAGACCGCCACACCGCTCAAACTGACAAGGTATGCTTCAGAATATTGAAGCCATATATTATATCTTTTACTGATGAAGTAAGCCTCTGTATCAATAGAAGATAAAGAACAATTGAAATCTTTCCCAATTTGGTCATTGTCACGAAACAGCAAATTTTTAGATTTTTTTTTCCACATCAAACAAGCAGATTTAAATTGAAGATGCTACTATTACCTTGTCGATATTGAAGGTCTGATGACATTGTATCTGATGACCATTGTTTACTGTTAATGGCCTGCATTTTCCATCTCAGGAGTTATTTGGTCATGGCATATCTATTATTTTTTTGTAAAATCTGTTTTTCGTTTGTAAATAGTTATGCATATTTATTGGTACTTGAATTGACTCGCACATGCACCCGCATTTGCAGCTGCATACTTCATATGGATTTTAAGTGCATTACAGTCAATTTTGTCACACTTCAGGTTTCTTGTAGTTTATGACATATCTTTGTTCCTCCCTTGTGTGTGTTAGTGTTTTTTATTGGAAAATATGATTTGAAATTCAGATACAATCATAGGTTGCTAGTCATATGATTCACATCCAATCGAACAATGTTGTAAACACTAAATAGATTCATCGTATTAAGTTATTATTTGGGCCAAGTAGATTCCCTCCCTTAGGAAAGTCCCTTACTGATGGTACGCTTGCTTGCCAATTGTTCACTTTTCTCAGGTCTATATTAGAAGCTTAAATGAGCAAGAAAGTAACAACATTTCCTCCACCGATCTCTCCAAGGATCCCCACCAAATTTATGAAGAACCGGAGGCCCCCCAGCAAAAGAAACAAGAGGAAGCTGATCCTGCCTCAGATGAAGAGAACCAGGGTTCCAGGAAGGGGCGATCAAAATTGGAACGCTGGACCAGCCACAAAGAGAGGGATTATGATGCCACTGGCAACACACACACATTATCTGCTTCCTCAGGGGTTAAGAAAATTGAAGGCGATAATGTTGATGTGGTGCAGGCAGATGAAGGAGCCAAAACTGAATTTAATAATGCCGGTGAATTAGATGGCAAGGATGTTGATGGAGGCCAAATTGTGGATAAGACGGTGGATGAGCCAGACCACCACCTAGACACTATGGCTAAGCTTAAGAGACGAAGTGAGCGCTTCAAACTTCCTATGCCTATTGTAAAGGAGACTACATTGAGCAAAAAATTGGAAAATGAAGTGCAGTCATCCAATAATGAAGCTGCTCTTGATTCAGAGGTAAAGCCAGAGCGACCAGCTAGGAAAAGGAGGTGGACTGGTAGTAGTTGATTATGGCTCCTTGAGGAGATCATGCCAATTGTGCTCTCATGAAGCAGATGGGTGAGTTAGCCCTGTGTTATAGCTCAAGTATCATCACTTCCCCTACACACCCTTCCTCTTCTCCTTACTCCCAAGCGTAAAGCAAGTACATGAGAGGAAATGGGTGTGTAACTTAAAACATTTTAGATGGTGGTCTGAGGTTTGTACTTCCTTTTCCTTTTTTTGCCCTGGTCAGCCAGCAAGTTCCGATACCGGAGGTTCCTTCCTGTTTGAGGGGGCTAGAAAGGTTTTCAGGATAATGTTTGTGGAGTTTTTGAAGCTAACTGAAGCTGCAATCATGGGATGGTAGAATTATCTGACATCCTGGAAGACAAAGATATTACAATATCTGAAGGGGGTGGAGCAGCATTGCCTCTTTTATCTTATTTTGTTTTCATCTTTACTATGATGCTCCTGAAGACGGGTGGGAAGGCATCATTGCTGGAAACTGAATAGCTGATGCTGCCAGAGATCATACATTGGTCATGTGCTCATCTAAAGTGTCCAAGTCGAGGAACAAGATCTGTAAATTGTGGGCGGTTAAAGTCAGATCAGACAAGTGCAGATCTGTGGGTCTTCTAATCTCATTGCTTCTGTTCATAATCGCACATTGGTGATTGACGTGCTATGCAGTTCGAGAGGCTACCAGATGCCTTCTTATGATCATGAAGACCTAGCTGCAAAGGTTGCATTGCAGCAAAAAGAAAGTTCCCCTGAAACTAATTCTACAGAGTGATGATACATCGAACTTTTTTTACTTAAATTCTTCCTTTGGCCCTACGATGCAGCGTCATATTCTATAATCGTAGATAGAAGATCTTGAAGACAATGTCCATACTCGAAAATTATTCAACGGAGAAAGGACATGTAATATCTTCCCTGCTTCTGTTTTGTTCATTGACAATTGTAGTTAGGTTGAATGTATTGGTAAACTATATGAGCACCTGCCCGAAGAGACATACCATACGGTTAGACATAAATTAGGTCATCAATATTGAGACTGACACTGAATCCATTTCCGATATGTTTGACTTGCTTACTGTGGCATTTGTTTGTGAAACTTTCTGCTTCATCCTCTTCTTGATCTTAGATCGAAACAGGTTTTTTGTCAATTTAGATAAACTAACTTGTACTGTATCTTCCTAGTCTAATAATTAGTCAGCTTAGTTAAGGGCATTAGCCTATTATTGGTGTCCTTTTGCATGTTCAGTGGCCATAACAGCTTTATTATAAACTTCCAATTTGGCCATCCACTGACTTTACAAAACTTCCTCACTTGTCTTATGCTGACACGCCATAATTTCTAGCTCCATTTGCCAAGGCAACTTGCAATATATCTCAATAACAATTCAATCATGATGAGTATCTAATGGAACGACATTTGTGTTAATAACATATTCAGCAGCATCATGGATGCCCTATTGCCAATTTTTTTATGTTTCTGATCACATGCTATCCTTGCTGGTGAATGAAATCTAGCAAACATTGCACGGATGGACAACTCTGAAGCCTCGGGGAAGGTTTGCCACCACCTGGCATCAATATCATAGATCCTTCACGTTCTATGCACTTCCATGTTAGTCGTTGAACCCTTCTCCTAGATTGTATAACTGCACATCATGTTGGAATGGGCATGTCAACATGGTCTTGTTTCTTTGACAAACAACGCACAACCGAAGCCTTGGCTACTTGGTTTGCGCTGCTCCGTTTGGATGCATTCGATTGAGTTCCAGCATTCTATTTCTCCTTCATGGATATGGTTTCATTTTGTTCGACTCCACGTAGTTAATATTATTAATTGAATCAACTCACGAGGCTAAGCCAATGCTTACTAAGAACTTTTGTCATGATTGTAGCAAGTTTTATTTGCGTTCTTTAAGATTGATTACACATGGTCTCGACTTGAGACTCTTGCAAGCTAATTAATTATTGCCAATGACATGAGGACAGGACCATCGGTTGCATGCTTCGTTATTGCAACTCATGGATCTGTTAGCCTAGAGTTAGGGCACAACTGGGCTCTATAAATAACTCGACAACTTGTGACTCGTACGCTTACCTCTCATCTTATTTTAACGTATGATCAAACCCCGTCAAGTCTTAGAGGAGCCGCCATAAAGTTTTGGCAAACAGCACGCAAATGCCGGTCTTCTCCCTGAGGAAACTTATTTTATAATTATGCTTATTTGTCTCGACTGAGTTGCTGTGTTTCTATTTATTTATTGAGCCTTGCATGGTGCTCGAATATCCTTTTAGTGTCAAATGTTTTACTTCCAAATTCATCTATCAGAGGTGAGAGTTTGGTGGAAGAGATATAAGATAATATTTGGAAACAAGTTTTCATATAATTGCCACACTTTAGGACATGAATCCTTATCCGTCTATGGGGATCAAGATAGTCTACCTAAAAGTGGTATTTATTTCATCTTTTCATAATAGTATTATATTTTTAAAATTATTAATTTAGATTTTGATTGTTCGATGATGTGGATGTTAATTCAGAATCAATCAAGATTTTTTTTTTTTTATGCATCTCTCTTCTATGAGTGATGTGGTGTTAGGCGAATAAAAGTCCAAATGGAAACCTGCAAAAATACTTAAAAGATGTCTCCGAGAAAACCTCTCGCATGATTAAGTTAATTTAAATTTGACTTTGAATGATTCAGTTTAATGTCGAATCTACATGAGCATAAGTGTGTTGGAAAAGTGAAGAAGTACTTGAGAACCTTTTTATACTTCTTATTATATTTCAGGTTGTAGTCAAATATTTGAAATGGTTGTATTTTCTCTTGTCATTGATGCAATCATGCTATATCAAACTAACTGACTGAGTCGATCATGTGATTGGCAGAATACTGATTGTTATGTCATCCTCGGAATGATAATGTGATATAATTCACGTCATAACGAGGTGTTGGTCACATGACGATAAGGTATCGATCATATAAATGTTATATCGTTTAGTGTTATGATCCTCGTATCAATAATATATCCTTAATAAGAAATAAGATAAATAAATTAAGTGCATCTTTTTAACAATCTCTGATTTTATGAGGTGACTGAAGCGATCAAATAAACTTAAACAGTGTGCAGCATGCTTTTCATTAATCCGTCTTAGTGTGTGATAATATCATGATGGATAGACTTTCCATATATCTGCCAGCCACGAAACAACGTGTGCTTTTACCAAACAAGGCGTGACCAGAGAACATATAGTGCGTCAAGTCGTCGGAGGACGATTCCACCAGAAGAATCCTTACCGTGCGATGCATAAACACATGGCTTCTTTACTAGTTTATCACATACCGTCTTCGTCTTCATATCTATAGTCAACAGCTGTTTCTCATTTACTTGTCTTCTTGGTTGACAATTAACAGGCTACTGTGTGTGTACAACATTGGTTCTTCACCAAGTCTACCTTTCTCCTTGAGGATTTGCTTGTTTCGATTACACGAAAGTGACATCTCTCGAAAGCTATCTATCTTCGTCCCCACCCAGATTCACCTCATATTCTTCACGTGTTAGTTGAATGGCCTACTCCAACTCTTTTCAATGCTCTTATTCTTTGCGCTTCTTACGGACCAATCCGGTTGGGGAAGCCCGATGAATAGATGGAATTACTACAGACTTTGGACGAAAAATCTTTGACCCCGCGGGATGTCCGCCCAACAAACGAAAATTTATATTGGGAGTTTTTCGATACGAACCCTCTTGAGGTTGGAGCAGAATATGAGGGAGTCGTTTCATCTATCTTTTTCGAATTAACTTCTTTTCATTTCATAGATGGGTCTAACTATGAGACGATTGTCGATTCAATTTTAGGAACGAATCCCGATCGATTAGGTCAGGAGGAGTGTTACGATGCGTGGTGATGATCGTCGATGAGAGGCAAAAGGGATTCCGAGATGATAAACTCATTCTAACTAGTATTCCGACTTGTCCATTAAAGAGTAATGTATGTTTGACTTGCATAAGGTAGATTTGAAGTGCCCCGAGATGGCCATGATGGTTTGGTGGTGGTAATAATAGCTGAAACGAAGGCGCTTGTTTCCAGAGAAGTAGCTGTCAAATGGTTGGCACATGGGACAACCCCTTTTTCCCACGTGTTTCACCATTATACTTTTCCGGCTGCACAACACAACAAGCTCCTTATCTTTTCTGAAAGCGAAGGGGAGGGTGAGGAGAGTCCACGCATCTTTCATGGGACCGACCGAGCTCAGCGAGAGAGATCCAACATAGCAGTCGCCTTCCCTTTTCCCCTTGTTGATTGCAAGAGATCACAGCCGAGTTCATGTGATCCACCAACCTCAGCGCTCGGCTGTCCCTTTGTGGAGTTCAGATTCTTTCAAACGCAAATGATAATTCCAACGTGATCTTAAGATGTCACACACCCTTACTCTGTTGTCCCAACTCCCTCGCCTATTCTAATCTGGAAACGATAAAAGAATTCCTCTTCATGGGGCCCCATCCCGAATTGTCAAGGTTATCTGTAATCGCAAGAAATCTGGTGGAGAAGCTCTTCTTCCGAGGCAGCTGAACCGAGTTTTGCAGACGTGAACTCTGTTGCCGTTTCGGTGATGATGAATAACGAAGGCAGGCATCGTGACGACGGTCGTTGTGACAGTAATGAAGGCAAGCTTTCGAGTGGAGGAGAATATGACACCACTGTCTGTTCACATCGAACGTAATCATCACTTCATTTCATTTACAAGAAGCGGCAGAGCAATTTCAATATGATCGTGAAGTCAGCCGATTTCTTCTCTTTTTTTGATGCCCAGAAGATAAGTAGTGCAATTTCAATATGAGATCCGCTATCAGGAACAAGTTAACAACCGAGATCCTTGATATCTGGAGGTACCCGACACTATCCGCATTAGCAAACGAATGCAATGAGATCGCAATATCCAAAGCAGACGTATGAAACATACAGATGACGAAGAGGAACCGGTCTTCTCCCTCGGGCATCTGAAGTCAGCAGTAGGTCATATCTAAGTATTTTTGGCCGTCGAATCGAATGGTGGACGGTGGACGATTCTGTGCATCCAGCGGCTGCCACTGTATGCGGAAAGCCAAGTGTCATCTCAAGATGAATTGTTGTTACGGGTGGTGGCGTACACTTCCGACCTAAATAGTGGGGTGGACTGAAGACTTGCTTGGCGGTATAAGAAGACCGCAAAGCCTTCATGAGTACAGTGACCGGGAAAAGAGTCGAGATGTTCACACGGAGGCTCTTCGAGTATATGAGGAGGAGGAGGAACCAACTAGGATCGTTGAAACAAGGAGCTTTTGGATAAGGTGTAGACACAGGTTTTCCTTCATCCCCTTCTGCTCCCGTATCCCGTGTTCTTTGATTTCATGGTCTTGCGGTGTCTGATCTAGGTTGTTCTTCGTCGTACAAGTCGTGGAAATCTGATCTCGGTGTTTTCTGTAATGAGATCGATGCAGGTTTATTGCGAGGCTTCTCCCCTTTTGAGGATAGAGCTATTCACAGGCTAGCTTAGACCTTCTAGGTTTTCTCATCGTCTGATGACGATTCTTTCTTATAAGAAAATAGATGGTTTTGGGGGCCTACGAGCAGCACTTCATCTCCTTTTCTTCTTCTAACATCTTATTTGTATTCACATTTTTCTTTTCCTTCAATTAATTTTTTTGATCGGTATCCTTTTTCGCACACATAGCGAATGGATCGAGCAAGATTCGAAGGCGGATTTCTGTTTACCTTTTGTTGACACTGGCACTAGCAAAAATTTTTAGCTCTATTTCTGGCTAACCTCAACAAGAGCTTCAGATTTCGGACGTATTGCATGTTTAATTCTTCTTCTTGATTTAGATCATGTAAACGTTATCCTTTCGTCGAACAGACTGTCATACAACTGCTCAGCTTGAGCTTGTCCTCGGTCGCAGATCTCTTTGTTTTATCATAGAGATGGAGCAATCATCAGGCCAATGGCCGCCACCTGAAGAAGTGAGTACTGACAGTACTACCCTCTCAGGACCTCATTAATCTTATAATCCATGTGTATGTACGAATTACAACTGAGTGGTCATGTGTGAGGTTACTGTCCTGTATAGGAAAACAGCGATCTTTCCTTCATCTACCAGCCTGAGATGAATTCTCTGGACATGTTCACGGCAAACCAAATCATGGAGTCGCTTGGTGAAGAGCTCCATCATCATCATCTTCCCTCGGGGTCTTGCTTCCCCTTCGATTCGGCTGGGAGCAGTGAGTTCAACAACAACGCCAGCGGCTCTCTCGTGGGGATTCCATATGGGACGCGTATGACCACCGCTGTTACCAACGAGCTAGTCTCGGTTGAGGCACCACAAGCCTCCCCCAACTTTCTCTCGTTTGGTAATCAGGATTCGTTGCATGATCCACCGCAACTGTATATGAATTCTGGCAAAGGGGTTGTGGAGCCACAGAATGAGATCACAAGCCTGTTCTCTCATGGTTCGACATGGAGTGAAGACACTCTCGAGTTCCAAAGACAGGAGAAGAAGAGCATGGGGAGCAGACCACCTTCTTCCGCTCAAGATCATGTCATTGCTGAGAGGAAACGGCGAGAGAGACTTAACCTGCAGTTTATAGCATTATCCACGATTATCCCCGGATTAAAAAAGGTGCTGCTTATTCTTTTCATCTCTGTATATGTTGCTTGATTCATCTTCTTGAATCGTGTTCTTGTTGCCACACTGTGATTCTTAGGCAACCTACAATATCAATGGCTATGTTGATGACCTTACTTATATAAACTCTTCTTTCTCATGAGCATTATTTTATGCGTTGCATAAATGATTCCCATGAATGCAGATTGGAAGAAGAATTAGAAACTAGCAATGCGGAAGGACACTTAGGAAAAAGCTATAATGCTCAAAGGAAACAAAGCAACATTGGTTGCTTCTTCTTAGAACTATAAGCACTGATGCAGTTCAGCGGATCTTTTGTTTGTGTGGCATGCAGACCGACAAGGCCACTCTCCTTGGAGATGCAGTCAACTACATCAGGCAACTGGAAGAGAAGGTGAAAACGTTAGAAGAGAAGGCTTCGGAGAGGACTGTGGAATCCACCATCCTTGTCAAGAAGACTCACATCCCCACCGGTGACCACACCTCAGATGCCGAGGGAAGTCCTTTTTCTGAGGCCTTTCCCAAGATCACGGCCAGTTTGAATGGGAACTCCATCCTCGTGAGGGTTCAGTGCGAGAAGCGAAAGGGGCTGTTCGTGAAGGTGCTCTCCGAGATCGAGAGGCACCACCTCTCTGTCATCAACACAAACGTCATGCCGTTTGCTTCCTCCTCTCTCAATATAACAGTGACTGCACAGGCGAGTCGATACCATTTTCTTCTGCATTCCTGCAAGTTGCAGTCCTGACAGGATTATGCTTATCGTATCTTTTGATACAGATTGAAGAGGGATTCTCGATGACGACGACGGATCTCGTGAAGGACATAGACTCAGCTCTTAGCCGGTCCATGTGAAGAAGAAAATACTCCACAATCTCTCGTTGCTGTTCCAAGAGAGCGACTATTCTTCTTCTTTTAAGCTTTCTTTGTCCCTTGTAATTACGAAGGAAAAAGGCTGAGCTATATGGGTAGTTTAGCTTCAGCTGCTATTCCGATAAGAACCATCTGCTGTATCCTCCGACTCCTAGAATTCACAAAGAGGAATGGAAAACGGAAGCTTCTTCTCTTCAGAGGCTATATATATTAAAGAGTGTTGCGGGGATATGGACTTATGTGTGGGTATTATGCGTGGAAATTACTTCCGATTCTAACTTAATAAATAGGTTAAGTTTAATATAGGGAAGGGAGATGGATGCTTTGTTTTTGACTTTTGAGTTCCTCCTACACAGCGGTCTGTGGATGAGAGATCATTTGTGTATAGGCCGCTATTGGGTCAACCCAACTTCCAATTGGCTAATGGATTTTGACCAAGATCTCATGTACGCTTGCAAAAGCTAGATTGGGCTGGGCTTTATCTCGAATTAACCCATTAAGGTTGAAGGCCCACTTCATTTTCTATGATGCAACTTCCGATCCGTTCATGGATGCTGAACTCCAAATGGAAGCTGCAACTCGAGTGTTTCTTAGAGTTTCAGAAAATAATTAATTCATCGAATATTTTGGTTTCTTATCAATTAAGTCCAATATAAAAACAAATTTATGATCTATGCGACCTTCGCAATACTCTAACCAACTGAGTTAAACGATACGATGCAAAAAAATAAATTTTAAGAACTTTATTTTTTATTTTTTCTATATTATTGTAAGATATTATTTTGAGAGCTTTAAGTTCAGGAAAGTCTCGAGCTGAGACAGACAGACTGTTGAATCATTTAGGGTTTGGAGAAGTTTAATGTGTATCAAAAGAATAGTTTTTGTTGCTTTTTCGGTGTGCTCGTCTGTTCCTCTGTTGGCATCCTAAAACTTGCCCATGCTAACATCACACTTCTTTATAGGGGTGGGTGGAGAGTCGGACTATCACAAGATTCAGATCAAACATGCCTCCTCTGTTGAAAGAGGTCAGACCGGAAGCGATGCAGATAAAGCCACTACGAACATGCTTGTTGCCTGCCTTCACAGCTCTTTGGTCTGGAGAACTGACCTAAAAGATGGGGCCTGTGCGACCTCAGCTAGAGAGGACAGGCAGTTACGTCGCAGAGCTCATCGGGTTCTCACCAAGCTTCTGAAGTCAGCGAAAGCTAGTGAGGAGGATGGCGTGCACTGCTGAGCGATCTCACCAACTCACTCCTCCCTTGTCTCATTGCAGTTCCATCCTAAAGCTTTCATAGCGTTGGTTGGATTCTTGTTAACTCAATCTAGCTTTAAAAAGGTGTTACGGTTTCCATCTTCTTCAGGATGAGAAGTGCAGCTTTCATGCACTTGTGATTAGTGTGTGGAGTTTTAAGATAAAACTATAAATGGCTTACAAGTTCATTACCATTTCACATGGAATACAACACTAATGGCCGCTGCATTGATGGCTCTTCTGGAGCTATTTAATGTGTGGTCAGCGATGGCACTCAGAGAACATCGTAGTTCTCCTCCAAACATCTTCTTTTTTTTTTTCGCCTCCTCTCCTGATCCTATAATTTAATCTTACAACAGCCTGCTAACTCAATAAAAGCCTGATCGAGATGCATCAAAAAAAGATGCAGATCCAACCATGGGGTACAGTGCCAAAGTCACCATCTTCTCCTGCCTTGGTATGCGCCATTTGACCCACCATGGCCTGCATCCCACAGAACTAGAAGATCAACAGCATCCGGCATTGCAATCGACTCTGCTTTGTGTTTCCTAGAGCTATTTATCACGGCAAAACGACAAGCGCATCGAGCAATCGACCCAGTTCCGAGACACCATGATTTGAGCCATTAATTGGTTCGTGTTTGATTTCTGTAGACGAAGAAGAAGAAGTAGGAGAAGGTGTACAAGCGTTGGAAACAGGGAGACTCTGGGATGGTGTGAATAAGCCACGCACCATCCAAAAACCAGGAGACAAGAAGATCGCCATTCGAGACTGTTACACTCTCCCCGAATCCAACCCTCCCTCGCTCCCCAACAGGCACTTGATGAGCTTTAATAATCACCACGCTGACATAAAAATTAGGAACTATTTAAGAATTGGTTTAATGGCAACAGAGGAGAGAAACTGAAGCAGATAAGATAAACTAAGGGCATAATTAACACATATTTAGCATTAGCCTTGGGTAATTAAGACAGGCTCGAAACCTTGCTTGTATTCGATACATCAACCTTCCAGAAAATAAAAATTAGCGTATACAGCTATCTGGATCTTAGCCTGTTCCCATCCCTATGAAGTCATTTTGAGATCATCCGTGAGATAATTTGTTCTGGGCACCTAAAGAGTAGAAAAAGCTATGTGTTGGGTTCATATGCAACAAGGGAAAGCCAAGGGGAGAAGGGGTGGCCTTTACTGTTCTATTGTATCGAGGAATAGCGTCGAATCCTGTACATGGGGGACCGCGAGATGGCCGGAGACCACGAGCCCTGTGATGTTGTGGTAGAAGTAGTATACATATGATTTTGTGGAAATCGAGGCTTCGGACTTGGGTTTGAGGGCGACGACTCGTGCGGTCGAGGGAGAGCAGCCAGTGGAAGACGACGGAGGGGCTGCTGCGGCATTCCCTTGGCTATGGCCACCGCCTCTGTGCACAAATTCTGGCTCATCGAAACAGGCTGACAGCAGCAGTCTGTGGAGGTTCGTCGTCGGCATATTTCAAGTTGCCAGCCTCATGCAACAGTTGCGGTTGCAAACGTCGGAGAGCGACAGCTGATGGAGTCCTTCCTGTCTTGGAAACAGACCGTCGCCAGTGGAAGTCTAAGAAACAAAATTACCGTCACTTCGATTATCTCGGACTCGATGGCAATGATTGACGCTGTTGAGATCATGAAGCTCTGCTCTTCTCCAAATTTAGTGTAAGATCGATCATGAGTGCCGATTCACTTAAACCGGCAGAATCCTGCAGCACTGCACCACATGTTGTTCCATTCCATTGACTTGGATGGTAACTTTCATGCCCGGGGCACCTCCTCCGGAACTCATCGATATGCCGGCTCTCTTGCATGCAAAACCAACCGCCTGCTCTCTGGTTTCCACCACCACTCGTCTCTTTACCTCTGACCTCCCTCCCCACCATACTAATTCCCCGTGCCTTCTGCTGCTACGGAGAGTAGAACAGGTCCTTTTCTATGCCACGGCCCCACAAGATCTTTAAAATAATTATATAAAACCCATCAATTCCCGAATAGATATTATTTATACCTCCATAAAACCTGCACCCGACGCTCCCCACTTCCCCCAAGAGTTCAACAGAGGCGAGAGACAGAGAGAGAGAGTAATGGCGTCTCTCTACTGCCGCCGCCACCGTCAGCTCCTCCTTATCTTCCTCGTCCATACTATCGGGTCATTGGCGGCGGCGGAGGAGGCGCTGGAGGCTGACGCCCTCCTCGCGCTCAAAGCGGCCGTCTCAGACCCCTCTGACGCTCTCTCTGCCTGGAACAACTCCGCCTCTGGTGGCCATTGCTCTTGGCCGGGCGTCGCCTGCGACCCCCTGCGGGGCTTCGTCGTCTCCCTCGACCTTACTGGCTTCAACCTTTCCGGCACGCTTTCCCTGGCCGTCGTCCGCCTCCGCCACCTCCTGAACCTCTCTGCAGCCTCCAACTCCCTCTCCGGTCCCATCCCCGCCGAGCTCTCCCGCCTCTCCAACCTCCGCCATCTCAACCTCTCCAACAACCTTTTCAATGGCTCCTTCCCCTCCGCCATCGTTCGCCTTAAGAACCTCCTCGTTCTCGACATCTACAACAACAACCTCACAGGGCCCCTCCCCGCCGAGGTCTCCGAGCTCCCCAACCTCCGCCACCTCCATCTCGGCGGTAACTTCTTCTCCGGCGTCATCCCGCCGGTGTTCGGCCGCTGGGAGTTCCTCGAGTACCTCGCTGTCTCTGGCAACGAGCTCGGTGGCCCCATTCCGCCGGAGCTCGGCAATCTCACCCGCCTCCGCCAGCTTTATTTGGGCTACTTCAACAACTTCGAGGGTGGCATCCCGCCAGAGATCGGTGGCCTCCCGGAGCTCGTTCGCCTCGACATGGCCAACTGCGGACTCACCGGCGAGATCCCGCCGGAGCTCGGCAACCTCCAGAACCTCGACACGCTCTTCCTCCAGGTGAACGGTCTCTCCGGAAGACTACCGGTGGAGCTCGGCCGCCTCCGCAGCCTCAAGTCCATGGATCTTTCCAACAACGCTCTCACCGGCGAGATTCCCTCCTCCTTCGCCGACTTGCAGAACCTGACTCTGCTTAACCTGTTCCGAAACAAACTCCACGGGTCGATTCCGGAATTCGTCGGCGACCTGCCGGCGCTGGAGGTGCTCCAGCTCTGGGAGAACAACTTCACCGGTGGGATACCCCGACGGCTCGGCCAGAGCGGACGGCTCCAGATCGTAGACCTCTCGTCGAACAAGCTCACCGGGACTCTGCCGCCGGACCTCTGCTTCGGCAACAAGCTGCAAACGCTCATCGCCCTCGGTAACTTTCTCTTCGGCCCTATACCGGAGACCCTTGGCCGGTGCGAATCACTCGGTCGGATCCGGATGGGGGAGAACTATCTCAACGGATCGATTCCTCATGGACTCTTCAGCTTGCCCAAGCTCTCCCAGCTCGAGCTCCAGGACAATCTCCTCACTGGCGGGTTCCCAGACACCGGCGCCGCTGCCATCTCGCCGGACCTCGGACAGATTAGCCTCTCCAACAATCGTCTCTCGGGGCCGTTGCCACCGTCCATCGGCAACCTTACTGGCCTCCAGAAGCTCCTGTTGAACCAGAACCAGTTCTCTGGCCGTATACCGCCCGAGATGGGGAGGCTGCAACAGCTGTCCAAGTTGGATTTCAGCGGCAACCGGTTTTCCGGCCCGATAGCGCCCGAAATCAGCCGGTGCAAGCTTCTAACTTTTGTGGACCTCAGCAGGAACGAGCTCTCCGGTGAGCTCCCACCGGAGATTGCCGGAATGCGGATCTTGAACTACCTGAACTTATCAAGGAACCAACTCGAAGGGAGCATTCCGGCTTCCATCGCCACGATGCAGAGCCTCACGGCGGTCGATTTCTCGTACAATAATCTCTCCGGCCTCGTCCCTGGTACCGGCCAGTTCAGTTACTTTAACGCGAGCTCGTTCGTCGGCAATCCCGAGCT